GTATCTAGAAGTTGCAGCTGGACAGGCATTCGATTTTATTTCAACTGTTGGAGTATCACTGACACTTACGCATAGTCTTCTTGCATTCTGGATGTAGTGCTTTGACGCACTAGATATTACTAAGAGTCTAACTAGGTATTTTTGAGTTCTCTTGTTATTACCTGTTACTTGTGAGTTTTATGTCCTGTGCATACTTTTGCTGTTTTGTATATTTGTCTTACCATCAATATAGATTTAATTACTCAAGTTTGAGGTGATTGGTGATAAGCCGGCGTGGTAGAAATTTTGGTATTTTTTGGGCGAATGAGTTATTAAACGTCTACTTCTAGATATTTCTCGTCCATTAACCTTTATCTAACTGTGGTTCTTTTCTTTGATAACTAATCACTCTTTTCTTCAAATAGTGAACCAGCAATAATAAAAGGTGCTGCATTTGCTCTGCGCGCTGGGACCGCCCTCGGTTTCTTGCTGTTTGCAGAATTTTGTATTAAGCTTACGATTCTTTAAATATCAAATTCCAGGGTTGAAATAAATTGGGAAAGCTTCCCAAGACAATTTTGGATGACGGCTTTGTAATTCTTACCTTTGCAAACTTCATTTGCTTTTTCCTGTCACTGCTTTGTGCTATTTGCATGAATTTCAATATATAGTCTATCTTCTCCGATTGTAACAGACTGTTTACTAACCAAGAAAGCGTTGAGAATCTGGAAGAAATGAGAATAGCACAGAATTCAGGATTTACAAAGACTATCTGTTCCTTACGATGTGACTATCACTAGTAAGAGATACCAACACCACAAAAATGCGAAGACTTTCTCGTTAATGATATTTATCAGGAGCGCACACTGTACCGTGTATCTAAAAATGGGTTTGTTGTTCAGATGATGTGTTGCAAAAATTATTCACCTATTCAGATTGGCTAGATATCGAACTTCAAAGTCACATAAAGTTACACGAGGAAAGTGGCCGGATTCGGTCCAAGGTTTGCCGGCAAGAAGATCCTGTAAGACCTGAAACCAGGGAAACCTAACTGGATCGTTGAATAAAGAAAAGAGAAACATACCTGAAATCCAAAGAAGAGGTACTCGTCAGATTTGAGGCACGCATTAAGTAACATGAATTGTACGACTATGTTGATAGTGTAGAATAATTTGGTGAGCATGTAAAGGCAAGTGATATAGTGCCCGGCAAGAAGTCTAAACAAGTTGTGACATTTTTTAGTCACCGTAAAACATATTTTTCACCTTTGGCATTTGATTTTCGCTATCATACTTCGTAATGGGATATCACCATTAGGTGACTGCAGATCGAGGGTATCTATGAAACAACCTGCTAAAGCATCCACTGCCTAAAAAAGGGTAAATGCGTTGTTCAAAAACTGATTTGACTCAAGTAGCATTTATTAACACTACATGAGATAGCATTCCAGGTCATTCCAGTTTTTCCAAAAGGCGACAGGCTAGTCTATTTTTCACTTGCAATATTTTGTTTGAAGTGTAATAGAGAAAGATAAAAAATATTCGTTTTGAGAGAAAATCTTTTTGAAATTGACAATGACGGCCGTTAGTGATCCTCCACACCTGACGGCAGGTCTGGTAGGCAGGTCGCCGGCATCTTGCCCTGAGGTCGCCAGAAATAAGACCTCAAATTTAGGCCGTCTCAACCATTTTCCAAAAAATTTCTAGATGAAGGTGTCACGACTATGAAGAAACCTCCATCGCAATTTGAAGTTTGAAGAATTCCCATACAGGAATATAGGGAAGCGAGGGGAGCTTCCGGCAACTTCGCGAGCTCAGTTGTCGGCAGGTTTCCCGCACCTCGTCAAAATTTGCGAGGTAGCAGCTGCTGGCAGATTTGAGAGCACGAAATATAGCGTACAATCTTGAGAGAGAAAGTTGCCTGCATTTGCACGACGTGCCCCTACCACGTCGAGGTGCTGGCACCTTGCTGG